AATAATTCTACAGAGAAAATATACAGTAAGGTAGGTTATGGAAAATTTTATTATTGTTCTAGCAATTTTCTGCAAGGTTTATAACACTGCTGGATTATATACAGTTGTCCCTTGATAATCCGACAGGTATGGGACCAAAGGTGTGTCAGATTACCAAAAGTGTCCGGATTACCGAAAATAATTACATATTTCGCATTGTTTTGCTAGCAGTAACTTACAATATTCTCTACTCCAACTGTTCGAACAGAACTGCTCANTAAAGTTATGTATAGTGATTTGGCAGAAGATGCCTAACATTTTGCTTATGAAGGAAATTATAGCGCTAATTTGGGTTTTGGAGCCCTCTAATGAAAATATCATATTCTGGAGTATGTTTTTCAAATAAAACTTTGGAGTTTATTAAAAAAAAAATTGTATATTGTGTTTGCAATGACGATTTTAGGCATCTCACTCCAAGTATCCGGGTGAGATGCCAAATGCCATTAGGGTTAAGATAACAAATATAATTGCATAAAATTAATTTTTGAATTTCTTAACCAAATTTAATTGATTGCACATGTAGTACAAAGTACTTCGTAGCAAGTATTACACCACAGTATAAGTATTGTTAAGTTAATTATAATAATAATAATTATTATTATTATAATTAATACATTTTAAATTATTTTAACATGTTTTAATGTCAGCATAAACAAAATCTGAATTTCCAGTAATTATAATCATAATTTTATTCCATTTGATGTTACCAATTTAGTTTAGTCTCACAGTGATTACAATAAGCATTATTCTAACTACTAACAAGATGTTTCCATTTTGGTACTACAGCTAATAATACACAGTTTATGTTGTATAGTGAAAAAATCATATTGAGGAGCAACTTTAATTCTTATTATATTATACTACTATATTTACTTTCTTTCTTCCTAGATTGTTCCTTTTGAACTAGAAGATATTTCATAAATAACATTACAAAGTGACTGTTCTATCAAAAAATTATAATGAGCAGAGTAAACTATCTTTCTATTTTCTCATCATTTACATTTTGTAAATATCATTTGAATATAAATAAATAACATCTTTCATATTTAAAAAAAAATTTTAGTCTAATTCCATAAAATATTCATATGTGTAATATAAATAACTGTTCTGTGCTCACTGTTACAATAAAATTTTTTTAAAAACTGCTTATTTATGTTAAAATTAAGTGGTGGTCAACTAAATGATTCAAAAACAATACATAGAGAATAAGTTCAAAGAGGAACCTACAAATATATGCATAAAGCTTTGAGAAATGATCATCACAATTGTTATTGATTTACTTTATGAAATTAAATCTAATACTGAATGAAAGAAAGTGTAGTATGTAAAAGCAATTATTCTCTCACAGCTTTACATTTTAAAAACGTCACTAAATTAATAAATAAATAAAAACCATGTATAATAAATTATTATAACATGGAACAAATTTATGAATATGGAAGAAAATGAATAATTAATGTCGACTGGCATTATGTTTCATTAACTGCTCTAAAATGGCAGCATTATTCTAGAGAGAGTTGAAAAAATTTCTTTAAAAATCATTTTTCAATAAGAAATGAATGCAGTCATATATAGTATAATAATTTCCCTGAGAAGCAATATAATAAAATTTTTCTCTCTTATTCACCATAAAATCTAAGTTAATCAATGGCCTAACATTAAAAATACAGTAAGTTAATAGTCATTCTTTAATTTTAAAAAATATGAGTTCAATTAACAAGTATTGTTTAATTAACTTAGAATTAAAGAACTTTTGCATTGTAGAAAAACTTTTTCCAAGCTTAAAAATATTTTTTGACTGACATTCAAATTTTTCTTCTTTTTCACAAATATCTATATTTCATCCAGAATTCAGTATTTATATTTATCAGTTATTTTACTTCATATGAATATTTCATTTACTGAAATTAAAATTCTTTAATTAATTAATAAAATTTCTGCTACATAGAATCATTTGCCAGCAGTAATTTCTTTTGTCTACAATAATTTTCTCTTATAATAGAAGCATTGGTTTACTTAGATATAATGGAACTTTCATAATGTAAATACTGAATATAAATTCTGGATTCTTTGCTTTATGATAGAATGAGTAGAAAAGTTATTATGTAAAAACTACTATTAATAATTAATATATGAAAAATCAACAATGAAGAAATTTGACTATCAAATATTCTGAATTTACAGGATAATTACATCTGCTTTGCACTCATATTTTAAGACTGTTTTTCATTTTGTTTCTTTCACTGATTTGATTTACTTATTTTACTTATCTATCTCAATTATTTCCTAGCTATTCAAGAAAAATTCTTAATTCTTTAGTCTCAGCTCATTTTTTAACATTTATAGGTAAATTTTACATAAACAGAAAACTAACAAGTAAAAAGAAAACAGATTATTAAGTAAGATTTCATAATTATAGAATGTGTTGACTGAAAAGAACTATCATTGCTCAAGAGGCATTTCCAACAGGATATAAAAAGATAAAACAGAGGATCTATTGATTTTCATCTTGAGTAATAACTATTATATGTTTACTTTGCAAGTGCAACAGCATTCAGAATTTACAACTAATTAAAATCTATTTCAAACATATCTTCCACATCTGTAATGTATAATATAACATTGCATTGGGTGGAAAGCACTTTGTTATTTAATATTTATGGAAATTTGATTGAAGATATAGCAGAAAAATTCTCAGTGCTGGTTTTTAATAGAAAAATGAAAAAAATGTTAAAATTTTCATTCAATTTAATATCACAATTAAGGATGAAACAAATTTATATTGTGTGGATATCTCTGATCAAAGATAATTATAAAGAAATGCATTAAAAAGTACACTAAATAAGAAAAAAAAGTGAGAAAATAAATATACAAATTAATAAGTATTAATTAGTAATAATGAATTTTTTAGTTATATGAACTGAAAGGATAAACAAGTGAACTACAAGAGTACTACAAGAGGTGACATTTTGTCTGAGAATAACAATAAATTTTTTTTTAAATATAAAGAATAAAAGTTTTTAATTAAATGATAATGGCATATCCAGTTTCTCTAATTTGAAGGATGCAGGATGTCTGATCTTCCTAGTAAAATAATGCAACTTCTGGTTCAGACTTATAGCAAAATCATCATAATCAATTGAAGCTTTTCTTGCCAAAAGCAAAAGTACTTTAATTAAAGAATCCATTTGTATCATGGATAATATGAAGTTATTTTTTTGTTTCAGCTAATTAATCATCGTGCTGTCATTATTGTGCTATGTTGCCTTAAGTAACAAACAAACAAGTCAGCCAAAACAGTTTACAGATTCTGCATAATGTGGCAGTTTGGTCAAGTTCTTACCATATCTTCAAAGCTTTGAAAATTTTCCTCTTAAAATAATAATAATAAAATGATGTGATAGTGAGATAATTTAGATTAGTAAATTTTTAGAGAGATCTGTTACAAAATTTCTGACCACAGATCAGAACTTGTATGCCACGTTGCTTGCCTTCAAATAACTACAGTAGAACCTCGATTATCCGCCCCCAGATCAACCGACCCCTCGGTTAACCAACCGTCCTAGTCAGCAAATTTCAAATGTCCACTAGTGATGTGGCGCTACAATATTTGGCTATGTCTTGGCTACTTTAATATTATTTTTACGTGTTTTAGCTGGCAACACTCATTCGACCATGAAAGGGAGCCAGTATTTAAACGAGGCTTAATTTTCTAATTTTTAACGATACAATAGCGACGATTATTATTTTAAAAAATTTTTGTTAGGCTTAACATCGATGAAAATTCAACGCAAAGTAGGTTAATAGCGATATACTAATATACTAATTACATGGGATATAATAATATACTACACTAATAATGGATTTTTTCATACTTTTCGGTTATCCGACTTTTCAATTATCCGACCAACCCCAGTCCCCAATTAGGGCGGATAATCGAGGTTCTACTGTACAAAACTTTACTTAATACTTAAATTTAATAACTTTTAAAACAGTAAAAGGATAAATTCAACTTATTTTAATTAATATATGAAAGATTTTATTTTAATGTCGATGAATCAAGATTCGTCAACATTAAAATAAAAGCATGTCATGAAGCAAGGATTTGCTCTCAAGTGTTTTATACAAATTAAATTTAATTGATTATCATTAATTAAACTTTTGCTAAAACACTATTAGTGAAAAATAAATATCCAATTTAATAAACAACTTCAATATCAAATGAATATTTTAAAAGTAGTGATTGTCAAAATTCTTCTAGTTATGAAAAACTAGAAGAATTTTGACAATCACTACTTGTACCACTGATGAAATGATTAATATGAATAAAAAATAGATAAAAATATTTCCTGGAAAAAATGTCTCTTTTGTAGTTTTGTTTTGTAAGCATACTACAAGAGGTGACATTTTATCATCAAGAAAGATAATTACTATTTAAAATGATAATAATGCACAAAATTCACTTTGCAGTTCATTAACATTATGCATGCAGCAATTTAAAAGAGGTAACACTCCATTTCTATCTCACTTAGCATTTTTGATAATGCTTCATTTTGTGCTCTTAATTTTAAATTTGATGCCAGTTACAAAACTGTATATTGATCAATAACTTAATATAGGCAATGTATAATTCATAAGCTACGTTTTTGTTCACACACTTTTCCAGAAGAATTCAAGAGAAAAATAAACCTCAATCTAACTTAATATATAAATTGTTCTTGGTCACCAAATTTTTCTTACATTAACTTTCATCTGGACTTTCAAAAAATAAAAATATTGAAATTTATTTAATAAATTCATATTCAATAATAAACACAATCTGAATTCCAAATAAAATGAAGAATAAATTTGAGTAAAATTTTGTATACTAATTATCTGATTAAAAAAAAAACCAAAAATTAGATTTTTCAACAAATAAATGCCAAAATTTTCTTCTTACCAAAAAGAAGAAATTTGATTGTAATAAGCTATTTAAAATAATCAGATTTTTAAACTAAAAACACTAATTTCATTTTTACTACCAAACACCACCACATTTCTGACTGTTACTACTAACTATTAAGAGTTTCATTAAAACAGAGGTGAGGAAATATTCATATTAGAAACAGACAAAAACTAATATTTTAAATAAAATAATAATTATTATTATGAAATTTTAATTATTTTGCAAATACTTCCCAGATAATGTATAAACTGTTTTGAATCTAGAAAAAAATAATATATTGATGAACTTCACAATATTGATTGTCACATGTATAAATATTTTAAATTATTATTTCACTGTTAATTTTTGTTTTATATATATAGTTGTAATGCATTTTATATATATATATACTATGTTTAAAATAAAAAATAATAAAAATATAATCACCAGTTTGATGGATGATATCAATCAAGATTATTTTCATATTAAATAAATTTGCTAATCTTGAAAAAATTAATATAATACAAACAAAATTATTATTATTATTAAACACTTTAAATTCTTTCAATTATCTCAAATAACCAACATAACAATTAACAATGATATTAAATCACTCCTACAATGATGAATATTTAACAAATATTTCTTTGTTTAATATATATATGATATGATATATATATATATTGTACATTTTTTTTATATTTCTACCTGAGTATTTCACTTGTTAAAATTTAATTATTTTCCTGAGCATACTGAATGTGGAAAAAATATATCAATATTTGACAGGAAAAGTAATTCTGTAAATTCTATAACTTTTTTTTTAATTATCTTAGATTCCTTGTTGACATATTCCATATTTCTGAATATTTTCACTAAATTTCAATATAGGAGGAGGAGGAGGAGGAGGAGGAGGAGATGATTCACTCAACACAGACTAGCTAGGAACATCCACTCTGTAAATAGAAAAAAAAAGTATTTTAAATATCACATGTTTAATATTGGAATACAGCTTAATTCAATATAGCTCAATTCAGAAATGAAAGTATGATTTAACTAATTGTTGATTTAATTTGTAAATTAATAGAATATAGGAATATTTGTGGGAAAACAGGTTCATTGAATAAATTCAAATTACTTCAAATTAGTTTTAAAACAGTAAAGGCAAGGCATTTAATTGTTAAAATGTTATTTTGTTCAATAAATTACAAATATATGAAATAAAATACATAATAAAACACAATACATGACTAGCTGTAATTTTTCTTTTAAGGGGACATTAATGAGTCAGCTTATATATGTATACATATACATACATACCTACACTACTCACTATATACACTCTAACTCAGACCATGCCTACTTTGACATATTTCTTTTTTTTTTTTTTTAAATTGCATAGTAATTCAGTAATTTTAAATTTCTTCACAATATAAAAATTATAATTAACAAATGTTTTCAATATCCAGAAGTTCATTGTGATATCATACAATACATTACTATAGCTGGATAAGTTACTAAAGATATTGCTGCATACTATATTGTCAGGAAATTTTGTGAGCTGATTTCCTGTAATAATAAATTCAGCAGTATAACCTACTAAAGATCTTTACTGATCTTTAGTAGGTTATACTTATTAATAAAACTTGTGCAGAGTTGATTGTAGTAAATTACTGTACTGTATATCCACTTCATTTCAATGTTGTCAGAGAAAACACAGCACCAACTTGACTTTCATAAAACTCAGTATAACCTTCACTCCCTATTGTACCCACTGATTTAATTAATGTAATTCTAAAAGATAGTATTATAAAAAGCAATTATATTCATTATGAATTTCCTTTAAAAATGTTATTGAAAAAACTTCACTAGTGAGACAAGTAATGAATTAAAAATACAGTAGACCCCCTATAACACGGGTTCATGTAACACGGATTCGTATAACACGGCGAAAAAATTGCGAATGTGTTCGTATAACATGCTAAAGGAGACTCGTGTAACACAGTAAAACGTCATCACCGACTCGTGTCATGACAGGATTGGTTGAATCTAGACCAATAGCGGACATTGCACAAACCATTCAGTTTAAACGAGCAGCAGACCTACTAAAAACCATTTATTATTTAATGGCCATAAAAATTTTATTTATATTAATGATGTCTCCCAAGTTCAGCAAATTTTTCGCAGAAAAATAACTTATCAGGAAACGCGCCCGCCGTTCAATGAGCCACTCCGTGACAAAAACAAGCTTAAGCAATGGCGTCTTCGAACGGTGCGCACTCAGTAAGTAATCCTACAATTTTTTGTTTATAGCATAGTTTATATGGATTATTTCCAAAAACTTATACGTGATTTGGAAATGTTGAGTCAAATTAATCTAGAATCGATTAATTTTATGGAAGAAAATCTTTCAAACAGCCGTAGTCCCTAAACTGCATATGTGCCGGGCTGTGATTGGCTCATGTATTTAAGTGACTCGTACAACATGGAATTCATATAACACGGAACATATCTACCGTGTTATAGGGGGGGGGTCTACTGTATATTCATAACTTATATTTCACTAATTATTATTTTACTAAAGTCAATAATTCGACAACAGTCTCTATTAATAAAATTACAAAATTCTTAAAGAATTCCAATGGAAGTTGACTATAGAGAGAATAAAATAAAAAAAAACTCCAACTCCAGCAGTAGCCCACAAGTAAAGGTGTATTGCAAGTTGTGTGCTTTAGTGTTTGTAGACATTTTTTTTAATAAAAAAGAATAATCTATGTCATCAGTATGATAGTTAAGATAAAAATTCTTGAACCAAAATGAGAAAATACTTTACATTTAGGAACTGAAACTGTTGCTACTCATTGTAATTGGTTATGTAGTGAAACAAGAACATTGAATTTATTCAAATCATTGATTTAAAATCTTACCACTTCTTAACTTCAGTGCACTTTCCTTTTTACACCGTATTGTAAAATTACTTTTGCCATTCAAAAGTATTACACTTTCAAAATCAGCCATTTCCTAATCAGAATAGTGCATGACCTTGATAGATCAAAGGTAACTTGAATAGCAGGTTCATGCAACAGTCTCACAATGCTCTGTTTGTAAAACATTGCCTTTAGAAATCAATGCAAATGACTACAGATATCACAATATTGTCTTTAGAAATGATGAAATTCAATCTAGTAGGTGACTGGTTGACAAATTTTGACTTTAGGAAGATGACAAATGTAAAGATATCAATAATGAGATAATCCAAAAAATATTACAAGAAAACATCAAATATCTATGCTCATACATTCATTCCATAAGTTATATTATACAAATTGAAGTCATAATTTAAATTTAATTTTTTAAAATAGATTACATTAATTTTACTTAATGTCAGACTAAATGTTTTGAGTCTTTCTTGCCTAAAGATGATCTTTAAATAAGGTTGAAAGTGTTTGCAAACAAAAATAGTTTGCTGGATTTGTAAGGTATAACTTATAAGTAGAAACAAAAATAAAAGAAAAATCTATAAAAAAAATTAAGTTTAGTATTGTTTATATTAATAAATTTTTAAATTAAACTTTAACATAACACACATCTTTTTAAACAGAAAGATCTATTAATTGATATAGCACAAGATTATTAGATAAACAATATGATCTGCTAAGAACAGTTTGTAAAGTTATTTTCCACAAAAAATTCACTAAGAATGAACAAACTAAATACTAATACACAATTATATTTATCAATTAAAATTATTTCATACTTAACTCCAACATATTTGATATTTTTAACAGGTTTTAACATTCAATATTATAATTTAAAAAGATTTTTAATAAAGAATAACAGTAATCTAATAAATCAAAAATATTATTTTATTAAACATTTTATCCTCAATTAGAGAATATAACTTAATACAAACATCTTAAAATAAAATTGCAGAAAAAAATGCTAGGAAAAAAAATTAATAATAATAATATATGAAAATTAAGATTACTTGCTAAATTCATTCATTTATATCATGTGTTTAGAAACAAATTACAGTATCATACCAAATTTATGACTTCCAGAAATCCAAATTACCAGAAAACCAGCTATTTTTGAATTTGGTGGACTGTAGTATAGTTGTAGGTCACTACATGGTTACTTTGTGTTGGTTTCTGTGGTATATGTACTACATGATGTCAGTTTCAGTGTGACTGCTGGCATATGGCAAACAGTTCTGTTCTTTACGTTCTACACACAACAATAGGAGGAGGAGGAGGAGGAGGAGGAGATGATTCACTCAACACAGACTAGCTAGGAACATCCACTCTGTAAATAGAAAAAAAAAAGTATTTTAAATATCACATGTTTAATATTGGAATACAGCTTAATTCAATATAGCTCAATTCAGAAATGAAAGTATGATTTAACTAATTGTTGATTTAATTTGTAAATTAATAGAATATGGGAATATTTGTGGGAAAACAGGTTCATTGAATANGGTTTCTGTGGTATATGTACTACATGATGTCAGTTTCAGTGTGACTGCTGGCATATGGCAAACAGTTCTGTTCTTTACGTTCTACACACAACAATTTAGACAACTAAATCGTAATGACAACCTTTTTTATTAAATGTATGCAGAGATTTTTCAAAGAATCACCTCCCTAAGACTAATCACCTAAGTTTCATCTTATATAGTCTGTTTTAATCAGGAGACAAAGAACAATTTGTTCAAAATATTTTAATCACACTTGTTATAGCAGCAATGCAATTCAATCCCAAAATGGATTACAAATCATTCTTTCAATCACCATAACAATGTATTTCTATTAATAGGACTTATCATACTGGTGTATAAGATTACAGCAACACTGTGTTGCTGTAATCTTATACACCAGTATGATAAGTCCTATTAATAGAAATACACTGTTATGGTGATTGAAAGAATGATTTGTTTAAATTAAGGACATTGATGCATATTAATTACCCAAAATGGATTGCTGCTATAACAAGTGTGATTAAAATGTTTTGAACAAATTGTTGTCTCATGATTAATTAAAACAGACTATATAAGACAAAACTTAGGTGATTATTCTTAGTGAGGTGATTCTTTGAAAAATGCCTGCATACATCTTTACTTTCTATTGTTTATTTTATATTTTAAGTATACATTTAGTCTGTGTCCAGCAGACTAAGTCCAGAAATCTGGACCATTTCCTATCCCAAGCATGCCAGATATTTGGTCTGAAACTGTTTACTGGGGACTGCAAACATTGTGGAGTAAAACTAATGTGCATGCAAAGTAATTTACATGTAAATTAAAAATTCTTTTATACAGTATTCAAAATTCTTGTTTTATACATTTCACTTAAGAATTTAAGTCATTTAATCTATCTGGAACAGTTTAGAACAGTGATTTCCAATGGGGATATGATGTGTTTGGTGGTTGAGGTATGTAAAAATAAATCAATAATGGACATATAGGCCTATTGTAAGAATATTTGGATCTGCCTTTAGCAATGTCATGGCACTCAATGCTTAATTTTAAATAAAAATATAATTATATTTTTCTGTGTCCTTCCTCCAACACTTTTTAATTTTAAAAAAAATGTTTTTTACATGTAATTGTGCATTGCTGTATAATTAACCAAGCTGGTACTGTTTGAGGAACACATGAAATAAAACTTAGTGAAAATAAGAAATGGGAAATAAAACTTAGGAAAATGGGCTGCCAAGGAGTATGCAAGTCAAAAAAGATTGAGAACTGCTGATTTAAAACAATGTAATATCTTTGCATAATTAGATAAGTTAAGAATAAATCATAAATTACAAAAAAAAATAAATAAATAAAAATTATTATGTTTTGAATGGTTTCTCAGAAAAATAAAGATCTCAGACTTAAAATATTTACAGTAATAAGTTTCTGAATAAGGTCTATTATAATGCACATATACAAACTTGATATTTGACATAAAAA